TAAAAGGCTTTTTTTTATTTTAAAAATTAAAAAAATAATAATAATAAGACGATCGCCTCCTTGAAAGAGGCGATCGCCTTGCCTCAGGCGACAGGCGCGCCAAGGCGCTCGCCTGGGCACCTGAGGCGCACCTGGGCGAAAACGCCTCGCCCCTCGCCTGAGGTGAGCGCCCGGGTGCGCCTCGAAAAYACTGCTTGCAACTTTGGTTCATTTTAGACCTATACTTTCTAAACGTCGGTTTTGATCTTTAGTTGCAAAATTATAACACAAATTTTATACACTATGGAAACCCGTTGCCTACGTTTCAAGAAATTTAGTGAGTGTTATACTAAAATTGTGGTGGAAAGAAATGAGATAAAAATGAAAATGAAAATGAAAAGACCAGAAGTGTCACTTTTTAAAAGTACAGGGACTAAAATGAACAAAAGTAAAGTACATGGACCAAAATGGACGTTTTGAAAGTATAGGGACCAAAAGAGAATTATATTATTTCAAGGGATAAACCGCCAATGTAAAGGATTATTCTCGGCGATTCTTAGTGGCGAGCGCTTTCAAAGTTCTAAAAGCTGATAGATAAACTCTCTTTTGGATAGTTTTTTGGGGGGTAGGGCGGGGATTGCATCTATTCATCTATTAAAAATGAAAAATACGATTTAACGTAGAAATGTTCTTTTGACTTGTCTACTAAGCACGTTAAATAACAAGTTACAGTTTGTTACTTCTACAAAAGTTGTAGCTTGCACCCCTAGATTGAGATATGTGGATTCACAGAGTAGGTAAATAATTTTCCACAAGTTTGGAACAGAAGTGAAAGTTGTAGCTTCGTTGAAATTCTTGGTTGTGTGGAAGGGGAGTTCACACTGTCAAGAAAACCAATTTTGTCATAGTAAGAAACTATTGGCTGAAACCAAAACAAGAGGGTTAGGAGAGATTTCTAAATAAAGGCTTGGTTTTCAAGGATGAATACCATTTATGTTGGTGAAATCCCTATGGAGAATCCTCAGAAAAAACCTTAAACCACCAAATAAAACAATATAATATTTTATCTAAGTCCAATAGGATTAGAGTTTTTTTTAATATATATATAAAAACAGGGCGAGGAAGGTATTCTCCATCCTCGTCCCCATTTAGGGTGGGTCTCCATGAGGCCTGATCCCCGTAGGAAAAAGAACACTACGATGACCACACTAAAATAGCTCATGAAGGACCTGGGAAAAATTTCTTTGAAAATGAACGCGCGGAAATTTTCGATTTCTTGGGAGGATTAGAACCTACTGGTACATGGATAAATCCAGGAGCCTATACTCAATCCACAAGGCTTSAACAGTTGTATAAAAAATTGGATGCCCACAAAATCAACAGGATTTTACACTAATTAGAAATTCACATCATTTCTGAAAAGAACATTGAGACTATGTCAAAGTTCCATCTGATACATACCCATGTCAGAAGATCGCCATCAACAACTGGAGCCTCTTGCACCAACGAAAAGAAATCCTGCATGTCGTTGATTCATAATTTAGGCAATGAGACAAATCTTAATAACATAACATCACAAAGAAACAAACTAAAACTCAATGATAATCTGCAATAATAGTGTCAACTAATTGGATATTACTATTACATATATGGCTCTCAAATAGTTAATACTCACTAAAGTGCAGTGTAGTCCTCATAAGCTTAAGCACGAAGGTGAAAGAAACAATATAAAAAATAAAAAAATAAAATTTAATTATATAAGAAAAAAATAGTACTGTGAATAATAAGATAATAAAAAGTTAAAGAAATTAGAACTTTTAGAACTTTTATTAGAGATTGTGGAGAAAAATGAACATCTTTAACGAGTATTCCTTAGTAGTCCCTAAAAGGCTTTTTTTTATTTTAAAAATTAAAAAAAGGCTTCAGATGCTGAGGCGCACACCACTAGYGCTTAGGAGCATGCACAACTAGCGCAATGGAGCATACTTCATCTTGAAGTTGTCTAAGGATTTCCTTAAAAGCAGAGCTGTTAGATATAACTTTGACGGAACAGCAGATGTGGGCTCAAAAGTGCAAACTCCAGTGGTTAAAGGAGGGAGACGAGAATTCTCATTTTTTTCATAGATGGGTGTCCGCCAAAAGAAACAAAGCAGCGATTCGTTCTCTAGTTGATAGAAATAGGACGGTCCTATCCTCAGATAGTGAGAATGAAGGAGAAGTTCTAGCTTTTTTTACAAATCTGTACACTAAAGTAGATGGCACTAGATTTATCTTTGAAGATATAGATTGGTCCCCCTTGAACTCGTATTGGCAAGAATGGATAGAATCTCCTTTCAATGAGGAAGAAATTTTTAGGGCGGTTAAAAGTATGGCAAATTTAAAATCTCCGGGCCCTGATGGTATGACAGCAGAGTTCTATAAAAAAGCTCGTAACATCTTGAAGTATGACATTCTCAAGGTATTCCAAGAGTTTTTTAAGAATGGTATCATCAATACTCGTACTAATGAGAACGAGACTTATGTTTGAATAATCCCGAAGAAATTACAAGCAAACAAAGTGGGAGAGTTCAAACCTATTAGCCTAGTCTCCTCCCTTTATAAGATTATTGCAAAGGTGTTGGCCGATCGTCTTAAAAAAGTCCTTCCCTCTATCATTGCGGACCCTCAAGCCGCCTTTGTAGAAGGTAGGCAGATTCTTGACGCCATTTTAGTGGCTGCAGAGGCGGTCGGCGAGTGGAAATCATCAAACAAGACAGGATTTCTTCTCAAGTTAGATTATGAAAAAGCTTATGATAAAGTGGACTGGGACTATATCGATGCAGTGTTGCAGAAGAAAGGCTTCGGCCATCGGTAGAGAATGTGGATTAGAGGATGTTTGTCCACGACAAACTTTTCAATTATTATTAATGGTAGACCACGGGGCAAGATCCATGCGTCTAGAGGACTTCGGCAAGGAGACCCTCTTTCTCCTTTCCTCTTTACTCTAGTAGGAGACTCTTTTAGCCGGTTGGTTCACTTGTGCTGTGAGAGAAGGATGATTAAAGGTTTTGAGATAGGGACTAAAAAAGTAATGATTTCTCATTTGCAATATGCTGATGATACCATCTTGTTCTCTCCGGATGAGAGGGGTTTTTTTAACAAATGGTGGATTGTAGTTAACTGGTTTCTAAGAGCTTCAGGTCTTTCATTGAACCTTGATAAGACCTCTCTGGTTAGCATCAATATTAGTGAAGATAGACTGATTTGCCAAGCCTCKAAGATAGGATGCAGAGTGGAAGACCTTCCCTTCTCTTACCATGGTCTACCCCTTGGAGGAAATTTTAAAGCTGCTGCCCTGTGGAGACCTTTGGTGGAAAAGCTGAAGCAGAAATTAGAAAAGTGGCAGAAACTTGTTCTCTCAAAAGGAGGCAGATTGACCTTGGCTCAATCGGTGTTGAATAGTATGCCRATATACYATTTATCTCTTCTTAAAGCTCCGATTGGAATTGCAAAAGACCTAAACAAGATTGTTAGAGATTTCTTTTGGAAAGGTGATAGATTGCACCCCCATAGAAATTTGGTTAATTGGGAAACCACTGCCCTGCCTTTAGAAAAAGGAGGCCTTGGCATTGGGACTTTTCAGCAACGAAATAACGCTTTGCTTTTGAAATGGTTATGGAGGTTTACACAAGAGGAAGATGCCTTGTGGAGAAGAGTTATTGAAAGTATTTACGGGATAGAGCCCTTCGGGTGGTTGTCTAAAAAGCCTAGGGGTAAGTTGACGGGCAAACCCTGGGTTGCTATACCTAAAAMCAGCATTTTCTTCTTCAAATTTCTTTCTTTTAAAGTTTCCCGCGGCGACAGAATTCGTTTTTGGTTGGATAGATGGACGGGGAATACTACTCTAGCTCATGACTTCCCCGACATTTATGTTGTTTCTTTGAAAAAGGAAGATTCGGTTGCTGAATGTTGGAAAGAGGAGCAGCTTGCTTGGGACCTTGGTTTAAGAAGGGGTCTTCGTGATAGAGAAGTAGAAGCTGGGTGGATCTTATGGGAAGGCTGGACGCTTTTCAAATTGGGGAGGGAGTCGATAAAGCAGTTTGGTCTCTTGAATCCTCGGGAAAGTACAGTAAAATTGGCCTTCCAGGCTGCTTTTGAAGTTCCAAGCACGAAACCTCTCATATCTTCGGGAAAATTGACAAATTAAGCCTCCTGTAGGGGCCTATTAAGTTTTTTAATCGCCCTTCTCAAAACACAAGTTTTCTGATCATTTGCTGACATCACCTACTTTGCCAAATGACCTCCAATGCCCCTCCTTACTCGGGTACCAAATTTTAAGTTTTCCCTCCTCCCCTTCTTGGGTAATATACCAAATTTTAGTTTTCCCTCCTCCCTTACTTGAAAACACTCCATTTCT